CCTGCCCCCCCCTCCTGGTCCCTCCAGGTAAAAAGACCTATCAACACTCCAGCTTCCTACCGCCCGCGGAGAGGACTAGCGAAGTCTACCCTCAGGTATCATATGAAGCTGCAAGGGTCCCCTCTGGCCCCGCTCCGAAAGAGCACTTTCCTCATACCTCCCAAGGACACCTGCTCTTCCACCCTCGCCTCAGGCCCGCAAAGTGGGAATCAAAGGAGAAGAGCCCTCCGCCCCTCCCCCACTGCCCCTCCCCCACCCTGTCTCCAACCCCACGTTAACCCTTCTTGCCCTCCCCAACTCTCCAGTTCGTCCCCTGCCCCTGCCTGCGCCCCGACACCTCAGTCTCTGACTCCAGCTCCCCCGGCCCCCGCCCCCGCCCTGACTCCTCCAGCCCCCACAACAAACTTTTCACCGCCGCCCGCTCCCTTCAGGCCGCCATCTTGCCGCGGGGCAGGCCGGGTAGTCCTCCGCTGGGAGGGAAAGGAGAGATCGCAGCCGGAATCCCCACGCACAGCGGCGCTGCGCGTCATCCGAGTGGGCGGGGCCTCTTCGGGGGCGGGGTCTGAGGAAGAAGAGGCGGGGCAGAGGGGGAGGTGGGAGGAGAGAGAGCGGGAGGAGTATGTGGGTTAGTAGGTGTTAGAGGCTTAGATGGAGAGGTAGATAGACTTTGAGGTTCGAAAGCTCTTGGGCTTTAAGTGCAGGAACAAATGGTAGAGGTCATCTAAGCCGTTCCCTTTGTTTTACAGAAGGGAAACTGAGGCCCAGAGAGGTTAAGCGACTTGTCACAGAATGGGTGTCCCCACCCAAGTCCTCTGACTCCAAATCCAACGCTCTTTGTTAGGCACCAGATGGAAGGGGACAGGGCGGTGGGGGCCTGGGGGGAAACTGGGGGCCACATGGAATGATGGGACCCAGAAAGGACGAGGCCATAGGGAACGGAGGACACACAATAATAATAATAATAATAATTAGCATTTACGTAGTGCTTACTATGTAACATAGTACTTACCATAACATTTATATGGTACTACTACGTGCCAGACACTGTGCTAAGTGCTATAATAATAATAAAAGCTAACATTTATGTAGCACTTACTATGTACCAGGCACTGTGCTAAACACTTTACAATGATTATCTCATTTGATCTTCACAACAACGCTGGGAGGTAGGTGCTATTATTATCCTCATTTGACAGATGAGGAAACTGAGGCAAATAGGAGTTAAGTGACTTTCCCAGGCTCACACAGTTAATAAGTGTTTTTGGCTGGATCTCGGGTGTTTCTGACTCTAGGCCTGGAGTTTTATCTGCTTCATCACCTAGCTACCCAGATAGAAGGAATTTGGGGCATGAGGAAGAAGAATGGAAGAGAAAGGGGTTAGAAGGAATGGAAGAGGGACAAAAAGAAGGGTGAGGTACAAAGAAAAGAGCACAAGATTTTCAGAAAAGAGTTAGATTTGAATTTTGCCTCTAATGAATACTGGCTGTGTACCATGGGCAATTAATTTGACCTTACTTAGAATGAATGTTAAAAATTTTTATAGGAAATTGGGGGATAAATTTAATATTATTAAAAAAAAAAAACCTTAACTTCAGCTTCACTTTCCTTGTCTGTCGAGTGGGGATGATGATACACATAATACCTATTTGTCCCTCAGTTAATAAAACCTTTATTAGTACATTCTACGTGCCAGGCACTGAGATAAGATTCTGAAGGACATTTGCTTCAAAAACATCAACAATGCATCATCATTCAGCCCCTTCCAATTGCTCAGATAAATGTATCTTTCTAGGTCTCTCTTGACTCTTGTGTTTGAATTTCAAAGTTCCTATTCATCTCTGGTCTTTTCATCAGAAATGCTTAAAAGTTCTCTTTTCCAGTGAGGATCTATATTCTTTCCAGGGGGATTATACTCTTCTTTGTAGAGTAATTATTCTTGATTGTAAACCTACATCTTTTCAATTCAATTCAATAAACATTTATTAAAAACCTACTAAGTACCAGGCACTGAGTTAAGTATTGGGTATACAAATAAAAAGAAAGATAGTCCTTGCCCTCAAGGAATTTACAATCTAATGGAGGAAGAAGACACACGAAAGAAGGGTTTTACCTTTGGGAATATTGTATCTCAAGAACTGTCAGGTAGTCGAGAAATATTTATTAAGTGACTACTATGTGCCAGGCACTGTGTTAAGCCCTGGGGATATAAAAATTGGCAAAAGACATTCCCTGCCCTCAAGAAACTCATGCTCTGATGGAGACAAACGCAAACAAATATGTACAAACAAGCTACATACAGAATGAACAGAAATAATAAACAAAGGGAAGGCAGAATTAAAAGGGGTTGGGAAAGGCTCCTGTAGAAGACAGGATTTTAGTTGGGATCTGAAGCCAGGGAAACTGGGAGACAGGCAGGAAGAGTGAGAGTATTCCAGAAATGGGGGACAGGCAGAGGAAATGTCAAGAGTCAAGAGATGTGTGGATAGAGCTTTGGCCCTTGAGTCAGGAGGACCTGAGTTCAAATCAGGCCTCAGACACTTGACACTTACTAGCTGTGTTATCTTAGGCAAGTCACTTATCCCTGATTGCCTAGCCAAAAAAAAAAAAAAAAAAAGAATCGAGAGATGCAATATCTTGTCTGTAGAATAGCCAGGAAGACAGTGTCATTTGATTGAAAAATATGTGTAAGAGAGTGAGAAGAAACTTTCCAGAGAGGTAGGTAGGCACTAGGTTATAAAGGACGTTGTATGCTAAACAAAACATTTTGTATTTGATCCTGGAAGCAATAGGGAACCCATGGAGTTCTGTGAGTAAGGAGGATACGTCAGACCTGTGCTTTAGGAAAGTCACTCTGTTGGCTGAATGAATGATGGATTTGAGTGGGACAAGAGACCTGAGGCAGGCAGACCCACCAGCAGGCTATTGTAATAGTCCAGGGGTGAAGAGATGAGGGCCTGCACTAAAGAGGCAGTGTCAGAAGAGAGAAGGGAGCATATGTGAGAGATGCCGCAAAGGTGAATCGACAGGTTTTGGCAACAGCCTGGATATAGGGGGTGAGAAATGGTGAAAAATCCAGGAGGGTTTCTAGGTTGTGAGTCTGAGGGACTGGAGGATGATGGTGTCCTCAATAGTAAAAGGAAGTTAGTTACAAGAGAGGACTTAAGGGGAGATTGTGAGTTCTGTTTTGGACATGTGTTTAAAATGTCTACTGGATATCCAGTTCGAGATATCTGAAAGTCAATTAGAGATTTGAGATTGGAGCTCAGCAGAAATGCTAAGAGATCATCAAGTGAAGTAGTGTAGGGATAGTAGTAGTAGTAGTAGTGGTGGTAGGGAAAAGAGAACAGGACCCAAGATGGAACCCTGAGGGTCACCTTCAGTTAGAGGATGTGATCTGGAGGAGGATCCAGCAAAAGAGACAGAGAAGAATCAGTCTGATAGGAAGGAGGAAAACTAGGAGAGAGTGGTACTGTGAACCCCTAAGAGGGAAAAGAGTGTCAAGGAGGAGAGAGTGATCAATAGTGTTGGAGGCTTCAGAGAAGTGGAGGAGAATAAGAATTGAGAAAAGATCATTGCTAGACTGCGCTTGTATAAGCTATATCAAATTGCTTGCCTTCTCAAAGGAAGTGGAGGAGGGGAGAAGGGGAATGAAGGGAAGGAGAGAATTTGAAACTCAAAAATTTTTCAAATGAATGTATATATAATTGAGAAAAAAATAAAATAAATTATAAAAAACCCCTAACTTTAAAAAATCATTAGTAATAAGTCATTTATAGTAGAAGTCACCAGTTCTTATGTGATCCAGACTATGGTTCCTTGATACTTGAAATGCTATTTTTCTGGATGTTTGAGTTATTTTTTTCTTTGATGTGGTAGGTCTGAATTTGGACTATGACATTCTTGGGGCTTTTCCTTGTGGAGTTTCTTTCAGAAGATGATTGGTGGATTCTTTGCTTTCTAGGTTGAATAGATCTGGGCAGTTTTCATTTGAGATTTTTGGACTATATTGTCTCTAGGCTTTCTTTTTTTTTTTTTTTTTGGCTAGGCAATGGGGTTAATGACTTGCCCAGGGTCACACAGCTAGTAGGTATCAAGTGTCTGAGGCCAAATTTGAACTCAGGTCCTCCTGACTCCAGGGTTGGTGGTCCACTTGGCCACCTAGCTGTCCCCAGGCCTTTTTTTTTTTTAATCATGGCTTTCAAGCAGTCCAATTATTTTTTAAATTATTTTACCTGTTTTCCAGGTCAGTTGTTTTTGATATCAGATATCTTACATTTTATTTTATTTTTTCCATCTTTTGATTTTATTCTCATATATATTGCTGTCTCAGTGATTTAGTTTTGGTAGGTTCTAATTTTTAGGGAGTCAGTTACTTGGATAAAGTTTACCCCTTTCTCTTCTAAGTTATTTATTTTTCTTTCAATCTTTTCTCCAGAGATTTTAGTTATTTTTTAAAATTTCTTACTTTATTTCTTCTAGATATTCATATATTCATTGTGGAAAATCTTTTGAGTCTCTGCTTTCAGTAGTTAGAGTTACTTTCTCCTTCTAAGCTAGATTTGGGGGCAATCTCTAGATCTATAATAATTTTTGTACTGGTCATTATCTTCTTTGCTTACCAAAGCTTTGGTCACTGAATCGTGGCTTTGCCGCTAGGGCCAAGCACCACCCCAGGCTATGCTTTTGAATTGGGTGTTTGGTCCTCCTTGGTTTTACCCTTGCTCAAGGATTCCTGTGCTGACATCCACCTCCCAAATATGCCCCCCTGGATATTTGATATGTTCAGGGGTCTGGCTCCATTAGATTGTAAGCTCCTTGAGGGCAGGGACTGTCTTTTACTTCTTTTTGTATCCCCAGTGCTGAGCACAGTACCTGGCACATAGGTGGTGCTTAATATAGGATTGATTGACTGATTGCCTCTTTAGGACTCACATAGTGTCTCATGACAGGGTACTAGGGACTTTGGAGTCCTCGGATACCAGGGCTGTCTTAGTCTGAGTACTAACCAGTTGGTTGCTACTGTTCCCTGGAGCTTCCAAAGGCTCATTCCCACTCACTCTAAGGCTTTCCCCTGGGAGCTCTCTGTTCTACTACCTCTAGATACAGAACCCCGCAGGCTATAAGTATCTTGACAGATCTTTGGTCCTGCCTGTTTGTCCTTACTGGTGTTAATTTTGCTGGAAAGTTCCTTTCCTATTGCCCATGGGCTTCTGGATGATTTTTTGTGCACTTCTGGGGTATAAGAAGTCATTTACTGTAATTTTTCATTGGATTTCTTGATCATTATTCAGTCTGGTCTGGATTGCAGGTTTTTGCTGGAATAGGTATGTAGGAACTAAATGGTCTACCTCCATTCAGGCAGCCATCTTGGTCAGAAGATGAAAGTATCACTTTTTGAACTATTGCTAATTTAAACAGTCTAGT